GGAGTCTTTTTTGGACTGCCTTTCTAATCCAATTATTCACAGCTGTTCATTGGGGAAGGACATCCAGGGACATCCAGTCCATTTTTAGAATGTGAAATGAGAAATTTTCTTTGGTTGGCTCTGTTGTTTGCCAGCTGGCCTGATCTGAAATGTCAGTAAACTGGTGTTAGTTTTGGACAGGGGAGTGTGGGTCAACATGAGAGGTGCGGGTTAACAGCTGGTAAAGAGGGCATGTGATGTATGAGGAAGAGACAGAAGAGATGAAGCTAAATTTTGACAAAGTGTCAGGGGAGCATCAGTATTTGCACAAGACAGCCAATGCAGGCATGGCTTTTTTTCAGAATGAGATTTTTTTTTTTTAGATTTAGAGTGAGGAAGCTTGAAAATTGAGAGTTTCTCTAATAGACTTGAGATGGCTCATCCGCATAGAGGGCATGTAACTGTCTGCGAAGGGGTGGCCTGGTGGGTAGTTGATTGTCACCGTAATTCCCGTTGATTGTCACCGTAATTCCTGCAAAAGGTGTTTCTGGGGTTTCATATGCAGTGAGGAGTTTGTAAATTAAGCTGTGTCCTGATTTGAAATGTGTTTAAGCCTTCCTGCCATTCTCATCCGTCCTTACGACTCTTCAGGATTGATTAGAGGGATTGGCAGCTTCCCCCCCCCTGCCTCCGCGGGCTGTTCTTGGGCTCTTTTGCTGGTCAATGTTAGGTTTCAATGAAGTCACCATGTGGTGAGCTCTGGGCACGTGGGTATCTGGGCATCTAGTTCCTACTAAGGAGTGAAATCTAAAGAACCACACCCAAAAGTTCAATAGCATTTAGGATCAAAGAAGTACATTGGTTTCTAATATTCTCTTTTTAGGAAGAACAAGCACTTTTAATTTATGTCATTGCTCATATCTAGATAAAATTCTGAGCTGTTTCAGGGCAGGAATACTCAGAGTTCTACCAATCACCAAACGGGCCAAAACCATGTAAGATTATAAATAAATCTTAGAACTTTTTATTATGGTTTTTTTTTATCTCCTAGTAAGGCAACCCCCATCCTACCTCAAAAGCAATCAGATCGTTGTTTTTGTGCTCTCCGTTTATATGAGAACAAGAGGTCACTGGATGACATTACTGCTTTGTAAATTTAGAACAAATAAAAGGAAACGCTACTTCACCTAGTGCGTCGTCATCCTGTGGAATATACTGTTCCAGGATGTTAGTCAAAAGCTGTAACCGGAACATAAAAAATAGCTGGACCATGCTCATTTCTAGCCACGTTTGCCAACAGGGATAACCAAGCCTCCTGTTCCAGGGCATCAGCTCATCGCTGCTATAGCTGAGAGCGAACGCTCAGGACTCCCTGACTGGGAAAGGGCAGCTTTTCAGGGCAAAGATTGCTGTGGCTTCTTTTGGAGATGACAAAAATGTGTTGTTTTTTTTTTTCTTTGGTGTGAGATGTTAGATTGATCATCAGTCTCACTTAGACAGCACAGTGTTTATAATAGCCTTTCTCCTTCTGTTAGTATCCTTCAACAAGTGGGTGTCTGGTGTTGAAATTACTGGCTGAAGTAGAAGGAGGTAAAAGCGGTAGGATGAGTGGTTTTCTTCCCCTGAGAGTGAGAGCAGGTGTCTGTTAATCTCAGTTCTGCCCTTATTCAGGACCAGTCTAGTGGCATGCCTGTTGCACATCAGCCTGCGTAGGTGAGAGGCGAGCGGCTGCCTGCAGCACAGGGAAAGCAGGAGTGTCGTCCGCTCACGAGGTACCCCGACTTGGCTGGGGTGTGTGTGAGGCTGTATGAAAGGCAAGAAATGTTGAACCACTCTACAAAGGAAGTGTCCCTATTAATGTGTTTCTGGATTCCTAATTATCCTCATTAAAATGTTTAACTGTAGCACCACTGCACGTTAATCAGAAAAACAGATTTGTATAGTTTCTTAATTTCCCCAAAGAATTGTTACACTATTTACATTAAAATCATATCTGTCCTTCAGCGAAGCCTGAATTGTCCCAATTTGTCCTCCTTAAAATAGGTTTGAGATTGCATTCTTTTATTTCCCATCTCTGATGATACCACTAAATCCCAATGCAAATGTTGCTTTAGAACTGAGTGATGGGGAATACTCTTTGTAAATTTATATTGCACAAAGTTACATTTTATTTGCAGTTTTGTAGTTACACAATAGACCCTTTGTTTTAATTCTGTGACTCTTTGTCTGGATGATTCAAGTAGGAAAATCTTCTTGATCTCTTTATTTGTCCTCTTGTCTTACAAACTTTTAACTTTGTTCTTTGAGCAGATGATTGCTCTGTTCCCCCCTGTGCCCACCACTGAATGTGGGGATTTTTAAGATGATGCAGTAGGTGACTTTTAGGAAGGAATTAAGTGATTTTCCATATTGGACAGTCTCTCCAGTAATCCAGGAAGTCAGTAGCCTCAGAAATTAATTCTTATGAAAGGAGTGTCTGCATTTCTGTATTTTATGCCAGTATTTTACATTTCATGTCTTCCAAGGTGATTTAAAAATGAGACTATGTACTTGAAATAAGAAAAGGGACATCACGGAATAGGAGTGTTCTGAAATGGGATCATGATGATAATAAATTAATTTTACCAACTCTTTTAAATCTTTTTTCCCCACTGCCCAAGAGCGTACCAGTGGCTTGTTGAATGAACTGGCAGTTCCTTATAAAAACTGGCTGATTTTAAAGCGATGAAAAGTCCTTGGATGCTTCATCCTAGACTGTTTGAACTTTACATAGGGTACTGTTGTATATATGCAATTATAGATGTTCTTGACTTTGTCACCAGAAAAAAGTGAGGCTCTGCTCTGTCTGAATAAATTATATGAACTTGGTTTTATTTCCAGGGAAAAAGCTGCTTCCTCTTAGCAGGACTTTAGAGGTGCTGCTTGTTCTTCACTAACTTCACGCTGAGTTTTGCAGTAGTGTTTTACGCTCCGTAAAAAGGTTTCTGTAGGGTAGCCATTCTTAGATAGCAGGGTTTTTGATGGAAATACAGTTAACTGCCCACTTTTCCACTTTCCCAAGGGAAAAGGAAGAATCGTGTGATTACCTTCTTTGGGAATAAGTTTTATCAGAGCTGGAATTGTTTAAAGGAAAAAGTCAGGGAAGAGAGAAGGAGTTCTTCAAAGTTTTATTTTTAGAAGATTGTAAATATTTATTTCGGTTTGCTTACAGTTGATACCGATCAGGTCATTTTGTCCAAGATAGAATGCTCCATGCCAAAACTGCGTTTCTAATATGAATGTCCTTGCTTTAAAAGCATATTTAGCTTCATTCATTGCCTACTTAATGTGTCTGTAGCACCCTTTTCTAGGTGTTGGTGATGCCTCTGGATGAAGTTAGTGTTATTGCAGGTGAATGCTGCAATCTATCCTATGAGAAGAAATGTATTTTTTAAATTGAAGAGCTTAAAATAAAGCAGAAGTTTACAGGTGTATCTTTTTTGTTGACATTACATACACATTTCTTGATGGCTGCTCTGAGGCACTTCAGCATCAACTAAAAGTTTGATGTTCAACTTCCAAGGTTTTTATTTTTAATCTGTTTTATGAATGATAGTGAGAAGCAGATTGGAAAATGGTAACTAACAGGGGTCATGTATTGGGGTGATGTGTGTGCGGTTTTTAGTGTTCACTCACAAAACTTATGGTTGCATGCTTGCAAGGGCCACATGGGCCTCATCGACCCGACACAATCCTAGTTTGTTTTAATCTGTTATTTTAGATGTTAGGGTACAGTTTGCTGGAAAAGCAGATGATATAGACAATTCTTTTCATGTACAAAATGTAGGGGGGTGTGAGAGAGTCTGGGCTGCTGGAAGTTTTTAGAGTTGACGTAAAGGGGAGCCTTTTGATTTTTGTTAATGGTGCTTACCCTTAATGCAACTTTTCTTAAATTCAGGTCTTGCAAACACTTCAATATTGGTCTAATTTAAGAAGTCAGTTTGATGGAAATCGGTACAGACGTGTGCACAAAGAGACAGTGTTAGTAAGATAAGATAACTACAGCGTGAGGAAGAGAGACTTTTATCTTAAGAAGAATAAATGTTGGTTTATAGTCAAGTGTGGACCCCAGCTGAATGGGCAGCCCTGTGGACAGCAGACATGGTCCTCTGAGGAGCTGGGAGCTTTTATTTCTCTCTGCTGCCACCGTCCGACAAAAGGAGAGAGCCTTGGTGGTAGGCTGCACAGAAACCTCTCTGCCTCCCTGGGCAGAGGGGAGCTTTGGCCACCCTGCGTGTCTTCTACTGGTTTGTTAAAACACTGAACTGTTTATTTAGCACAAGGCAACTAATGCATGCGAATTAGCCCAGGGTAGGAGCGCACTGAGGACAGTATTTTTAGAGGAAGGCAAACTCACCACAACCTCAAGCTGCTAGTGGAACATTTCTTGGAATATCTTCTATGCAATAATGGTAGAACAAGCCCTCAGGAAACACAGGGGTTCAAAATACGGTGATTTCTCTTCTAGATTGCTTATTTTGTTTCATTTCTCCCCTCCTCACTTGTCATGACTCTAAACAGATTTTTAGTAGGATGTTACAGAGTGTCATCTAATTGATTAATCGCTAGAAACTGGTATATTATGCTGTTAACAAAATGTTTTAATGTTGTTGCCAATTTAAAAAGTCATTAAGTACTTAAAAAAAACTTACGCAAGGTCTGCACATGTGATATATTAACTCCTACTGCTCTGTACTTGATTTGTGTTGTGCTGTTATTTGGGTATGAGAGATTTCTTTACTCAGTTCAGTGCTGGGAACGATGGCTAAAATCTGTGTGGTTCTGTACGTTTATGAAGGAATTAAGGTATGTTATGGTGGAAGAGAAACGTGATTGAAAGGTGGAGATGACTTCTGCTCTGTTGTGCAGCTCATTGCTTCTGAAAATAGCTTCAACAGATTACACCAGTGATAAGGTGTTCTCTTGCTGTCTCTCACTGACATGCCCAGAACGCACACTATTAATTTTCTCTCACTCTTCAGATTATCACTCCATGTCGGAAGCTCATCCTTTGTGCTGATAACAGAAAAGAGATGGAAGATTGGATTGCAGCACTGAAGACTGTACAAAACCGTGAACATTTTGAGGTAATAGGAAAATGCGTTCCTTTGTACTCTGTGCCTCATCTTCGAAATAACAGCTTGTTTTGAGATTGGAGTCAGCTTCCAGTGAAGTTAATAGAAGTAGTTTTTATTGACTATGATGGGTACAGTATTAAGCCTTCTGTAAAAACTATGCCAAATACACTGAAGTGATTCTCCAGAGAGTGCATGTGGCTTTGTATACTCTTTCTGGGTAACTTTGAGGGCGCTTTTCAGAGTATGGATACATTATGAAACAGTTTTCTTCCCATTGTCTTTTCACTCTTCAGTTATCCTCCCTGTCCTAATTCACCTCTTGCCTGCTTGGTATTCTGCCTACTTCAGTGCATCTGTGTGCTTTCTGGGGCTGTAGTTAGACCAGCATTGCTGCCAAAAGAAGCTATCTTTTGTTTTCCCTGCTCTGATGCTTGTCTCCCTGTTGTCTGCTCCCTTATGCTGGCACAAGCATTCCTCTGCTACTCAGTAAACCAGGTTGGGGAACTGATCTTACTGAAAACTTAATCAGCAAAAAAATGGGGAAGGGAGGGATCAACTCTCCAGCAGATAAATTCTGCAATTCGTTTCCCT